AGATAGGGAAGGGTGTTCTTCAAGGGGAGCTGGTCCCAGGGTCAGGGGACCTCAGTCACCAAGTATTAGAAGAACCTGGGGCTGAGGGACAGCCAGGCTGTGCCCTCTTTAAGTTTTGCTCCATTTTCTTCACTGGGGTCCACTCAGACCACGAAGCTCTGCAACCTGCACTCCCTCCTGCTCCCCTGACCCACTTGCCCTGGCTCACCCTTTCTTGTCTTCCTCACGTGCTGTATAATATATATATATTGTTTATTATTTATTGTCTGTCTCCTCTGCTAGATGTCAGCTCCATGGGGGCGGGGCCTTTGCTTTGTTCCTGGAAGTATCCCAGGATCCCAGTGCTTGGCCCCTTGCAGGTGCTCGGTGTGTATTTGTGGCGGGAACGAATAAGGGAACGAATGAATGAAAATAGGCCGGACCAGCTATTTCAGGTGGGGTCCCCCTCCCCCTCTTTCGGAAGCAGGACCCACTCAGGCTGAGCCAAGCAGACACGCCACGCAGGCCAGCCCCGTGGGCATGTGGTGGAATTCTCTGCTGTCACCATTTCAAAATTCTTAGCAAATTTGTAACAAGGGGCCTGAAATTCTGTTTTGCACCAGGCCTGCAAACTACGTGGCTGGTCTTGAGCTCACATGACTCCTGGAGAGGAGGAGTCAGCATGGGGGGGGGGGGGGGGGGCTGCTGTGTGTCTCTGCTGAGTGTGAACCCCGTGGTTAGAGCAGAAGCAGATTTCTAAGGGTTTCTTAACCTTTTACTTAAAAGTTAAGGTTCAGAGAGGAGCTGCAAGAGTAGGATAAAGAAGATTTTTGTCCTGAACCATTTGTGACTAAGTTGCCAATTTTCCTGAATTTAGTGTGTATTTTCTCTGATTAAGGACTTTTTCCCACTGAACCATAACACAACCTTCAATACTGATAAAATGGTCATTGAGATAGCACTGCATCTAATGCAGTGATCCACCTCCGAGTTTCTTTTGTAACCCTCACCCAAGGATACGGTGAGAGAGAGGAGAGAGAGAGAGAGAGAGAGAGAGGAGAGAGAGAGAGAGATACCAGTTTGCCTTCCATATTGGGGACTGAACCTGCAAACATGCCTGGCAACCTTTTGTTGTACAGGACGATGCTCCAGCCAACTGAGCCACTCTGGCCGGGCTCACCAACCTTTTCAACAGTGTCCTTTAGAGCAAAAAGATCCAATTAAGGATCATGTTGTGTTAGTTGTTTTGACTCTTTAGTCTCCTTCCCTCTGGGAGAATTCCTCAGTCTTTCTTTGACTTGTATAACCTGAAACCTTGACATTTTTGGAAATACAGGCTTGTAATTGTCCCTTAGTTTGATGTTTCCTCACAATTAGATGTAGGTTGTGCATCTTTGGCAGGAAAATCACACAGTGATGCTGGGCTGCCCTATTGTATCCAGGGGGGATATGACTCTGATTTGTTTCATTACTGTGCTATTAAGCTTGTTTTTTTTTTTTTGGTTAAAGTAGCATTTGCTGAATTTCTCCACTAACCCCAAATCCATTGCCCTAAGAAGTAAGAATTTGAGGGGGAGGTACTTTGCTGATTTGTTTCATTACTGTGCTATTAAGCTTGTTTTTGTTTTGTTTTTTGTTAAAGTAGCATTTGCTGAATTTTTCCACTAACCCCAAATCCATTGCCCTAAGAAGTAATAATTTGAGGGGGAGGTACTTTTTGCCTCATTCAACTTTTACCCATCAATTTAAAAAATATTTTTATTGATTTCAGACAGGAAGGGAGGGGGAGAGAGAGATAGAAATATTAATGATGAGAATCACTGATGGGCTGCCTGGACGCCCCTCCATACTGGGGATCGAGCCTACAACCTGGGCATGTGCCCTTGACAGGAATTGAACCTGGGACCC